AGGTTCACCTAGGGAGCCTCACTATACTACTTCTGGGCTTGGCGTGTGTGACTCCACACCCGCTTACGTTTCCCATGTTTGATGGCTACACAAGTCCGGGGTTTGGTGATCACTATCTTGGTGATCCTTTCTTGTTAAGGGCCAATCCGGTCCGGGGTGCGATGATCACATTCATGGTGGTCCTATCGATCTTGCTACTTGCGATGGAAACAAAGCTTCTGAGAAAAGATTTTGCTGATCTACTAGCTGTTTTGAGGCATACCCGTGTTTTTAAATCTCTTTGGGGGTTATTGCATTCACTCCTCCATCGAAAGGGCAGCCCAGCATGTCAGCAGAGTTGACACCGGCCAGTCCTTGGAGTGGCAGATGTGGTTCAAATCATTGCCCCGGGGTAAATCCAGTCTCACCTGAAACAACCATGAGATATTCGCAGCTGGCGCTTCTGTTGACTTGTCTTCTGAAAAGCAACTCGGTTTTTATCTTGATGTTGAAACAACATCTTAGATAACTAAAAATCTGAAAAAACAGGAGGTTGAACCAAACAGTATGTCATCTTACACAGGGTGGCTCCTATAGCCTTAACCGATAATTTTCCGAGGCCTGGGGCCAGTGGAGCATCCTGGTCAAACCGCCGATTTTGCAGAGATATGCGCAGGATCAAAGGGAGATATCGATAAGCCTATTATTTTCTTTATATTCATGTATGTGAAGATCCTCATATGAGCTTTCTCCAGGCTGTGGTTGCAAAAAAACAAAAATATTCCATCACACGCAGTTTGCAGGAAAGCATGTTCTCCACAGTGGCATGCAGCTGATGGGGCTTGCAAGCCGAGCCTATGATGCCCCTAATCTGCAAGGTATTAATGGGTCATGAGATCATCGACCAACCCCTGTTGCTACAAACCAAGGTTGTATTTTTGAAAAAGACCCTCTATATATATATATCACAGTTTATGATATTATAGTATGTTATACTGTATTATTATATTGTATTTTATTACTATTGTATATATATATATATATATTCAGCTATTAGATATATATATATATATATGATAAATATTGTTTTAAAAATTACGTATATAATATGGGCCTAGTGACTTTTGAAACACTGTGAAGTCGGAATGTCTTTGAATTAGCCAACTTGTATTCGTTTTTTTGGGTATGATGCAGCGTATCCGGAATTGGCTCCATTCAAAACTTCAAAAAACCCCAAAGAACCGCAAATAAGATTCTCAACTCCCAACACAAGTCCCCTGGTAGAACTAGAAAGTTAACAAATGGTCTGTTTAAAGGTCGGGTCCAAGAAGTATAAAGTGTGCATTTCATCTAAGATCAGCTACACTCGCAAGATGGACTTGTTGTCAGCTTTCGGATTCCTCCTCTGCCTGAACTACGCTCCTTTGGCTGCATTTATTTGGGTGGAAAAACCATGAAAACACAAAACAAATGGTTTCACATCAATGCGTTGTTCCAGGGTCATTTAAACATCATCTAAGATCCGTCACATGAAGAAGCACGGCTGCATGTGGTTCGCAGTACCATGCAGCAGCTGGGTATTCATGAGCCTTGGATTATTTAATTGGTGACGCCAGAAGGTAAAAGACAGTAGAATTTCAAATGTATGAGTGAAAGTTGCCCATGTTACGAACTTAGGTCGATGGGGTCTTCCAAACGATCATTTTTACGACCCCAAGGATGGAAACATGTTCACTGCGCAAAAACTGGAAACAGAATTGCCCGCAGACTTTGCTACCTGCCGGGATCCCAGCCGGTTGACCCAATGCTGCCAAAGGGGCTTTTGGAAGTCTCGGTTGTTTCCGATCGGCAGTACCATGTGAAGACATAGACATCCGATTTCCTCAGGCTCGAGGTATGCTATGCGAAAGGCATCTTTTACGTGATTGAACAGCCGACATCGTCTTTGTTGTTTCAGTACAAGCCCTTGAAAGCTTCTCAAATGCACTATATACGTGGGCTTCTTTGACAGATTTGAGATTCAAACGTAATTTCATAATATTTCATACATCGACACCTTAACCCGACTAAGATGCTATTGCAGCGCCATCGAGCCAGAATGGGAGAATGTACCCTTGGAGAGTTCAATGCTGCAACTTTGAAGCCAGCTTCTTCCCAGCACACAGAATAACAGCGCAAAGTCTTTATATGTTTTTCAGTGGAACAGTGTCACGTCACCATGGTTTTTAGATTTGGACAATGTACCCACGAAAAAAAATAAGGTTGTCCTTTATGGGACGGCTCCATTCCTTGCCGACCTCATTCGATCCCAGCCAGTTCCATGCAAACTGAAGAGGAGTTTGCGGGTTGTGGCAGATAGTGAAATCCATTCGGGAAAAATCTTTTGGGGAATTTTAGGGGCTGACGTATCCACATTTTTTTCACTGTTAAATCATCGATAGGGTTTTAGCCAATTAAACACTGCAGTAAAAGCCCGGTGTAGCATAAGTGGAAATTAAAGTGGTTCCTCCCCAGATATGTTTTATATCTACCTTTTCCCTGGATGAAATAAGCTCAATTGATTCCAACCAAGTTTTCCAGATGTTTCTTCTTGGTACATATATATCTTTTGACATTGTTCATAGTATAAGCCCGTATGTTTTTCTATCTGGCAGGAAGCAGCTCCGCAGAGTCCGCTCCTTTCTTAAGCTGGAGATTGCCAAATCCTACACCAACCGTCAGGGGAAGAAATGTGTCGCTGGATGCTTAGTATGATAAAAGAAACCCACACACACATGCAATGCATATAGATATAGTGCGGTCTTCCACATGTGGTATATGTGTGGGAATAATTGCATATGAGGTGGGTGGGAAGCATCTCCGCTCCACACAGGGGTACCCAGGCCAGCTGGGCTTAAGCGCCCCTTGGCTATGTATTTTATATATTATATATATATATATTATACACAATAAAATAAGATACAATAAAATATTGAAATGACAATATTTGCTTTATGTATACAATAGTATGAAACAGGCTCTACAATACAATACTATACTAGACATATACTATGATAAAATGAAATGAGGTAGAAAATATTACAAGAAATTTGATACAGTATATCTTCGTATAATATCAATACTTTACTCATACAAATGTTATATCATATTTTTGCATATGTACAATATATATATATATATATATCCGTGCCCACTATATATCAACCAAAACCATGCAAAGCTTTAGCCCAGGTTGCGGAGCTGATGTCCGAGCACATGAAAGGCATCCGCCCAGAAGATCAAAGGCCCGTTCCTGATCAAGGGCTTCTTTTCCGTGACTACGGAGATGATTCCAGCGACAGTGGTTTGGAATCAATTATTTAAATTAGATCTTGATCCATCGATGGGCGCATAGCTGTTTCAAGTTCACCCTTAGCTTATATTATTACATATATATGGGGTCAGCAGAAATAGATATATAGATTTATTGGTGGTGCCCATCGATCTTGCTGCCCAGACAAATGTGTGGTTCAGCTCACCACATGCAGTACATATATGGCCTGCGCCATTGGGAAAATGGTATTGTTCTGCATTATGGGGTTTTGCAAAAGAACACATGGCAAAAGTTGACAAGTTAATGCCCGGCACGTTTGGACACGTTTGTAAACTACACTGACACAATTTGACACGCTCTAACCATGCATGGGTCTTTGACACGTTTTGACACAAGATGACACGATTTGACACGCTTTGACACGGACATCACTGACACGTTTTGACACGAACTGACACGCTTTGACACGGACATCGCTGACACGTTTTGACACGTTTTGACACGAACTGACACGCTTCGACACGGACATGACACTGACACGTTTTGACACGTGACACGTTGACACGAACTGACACGTGACACTTTTTGACACGTTTTGACACGAACTGACACGCTTTGACACGGACATCACTGACACGTTTTGACACGTTTTGACACGAACTGACACGCTTTGACACGGACATCACTGACACGTTTTGACACGTTTTGACACGAACTGACACGCTTTGACACGGACATCACTGACACGTTTTGACACGTTTTGACACGAACTGACACGCTTTGACACGGACATCACTGACACGTTTTGACACGTTTTGACACGAACTGACACGCTTTGACACGGACATCACTGACACGTTGTGACACGTTTTGACACGAACTGACACGCTTTGACACGGACATCACTGACACTGACACGTTTTGACACGAACTGACACGCTTTGACACGGACATCACTGACACGTTTTGACACGTTTTGACACGAACTGACACGCTTTGACACGGACATCACTGACACGTTGTGACACGTTTTGACACGAACTGACACGCTTTGACACGGACATCACTGACACGTTTTGACACGAACTGACACGCTTTGACACGGACATCACTGACACGTTTTGACACGTTTTGACACGAACTGACACGCTTTGACACGGACATTGACACGGACACGTTTTGACACGTTTTGACACGCTTTGACACGGACATCACTGACACGTTTTGACACGAACTGACACGCTTTGACACGGACATCACTGACATGTTTTGACACGAACTGACACGCTTTGACACGGACATGGATCACTGACACGTTTTGACACGTTTGATAAAAAATATTGGGCCCCCCCGAAACGTGTCAAATCGTGTCAAAACGTGTCAACGGCATCATATGGGACATGAAAACGTGTCAAAACGTGTCAGGCCTAGACCCCAAATCTGACATAAACTGACACGTTTTGACATGATGGTAGCCCCCCCGAAACGTGTCAAATCGTGTCAAAACGTGTCAACGGCATCATATGGGACATGAAAACGTGTCAAAACGTGTCAGGCCCATACCCCAAATCTGGCATTTTTGAAACTAAGTTGATCAATATTGTTCAATAGTTTTATGTCAGTCTGTTGTGTTTATATGGTCGATCAGTGCCTGGTTGGAGACATCTTTCCAATCAAGTGGGTTACACGTCCAAACCACCTAGACTGCATGCTTAGTGAAGTGCCTGCAGCGAAGGGTGGGCCCAGCGAAGGTGGCATGGAGGGCAGCACTTCCATTGCCAAAGGGGGAAAGACTAGCATCAAGGGCAAGCATGGCAAGACCGACGCCATGAAGGGTTTTCACCCAAAACGTTCTTCTGGGGATACTTCTGGTTCTTCCGAAGTTGTTTCCAAGGGCTCTGGGAAGTTCAAGGGTAAGACCACTGTCACCGAGAGTTACCAGGGCTTGGAGGATGGCAAGGGCAAGGGCAAGTTTGGGGACACCGCAAAGGGCAAGACCGACACCACGAAGGGTTCCCACAAAGGTTCTTCTGGGGATTCCGTTGGTCCTAAGGGTTCTGGCATGTTCAAGGGCAACTCCGATGTCACCGAGAATAACCAGGGCTTGGAGGATGGCAAGGGCAAGGGCAAGTTTGGGGACACCATGAAGGGCAAGACCGACACCATGAAGGGTTCCCCCCCCAAAGGTTCTTCTGGGGATTCCGTTGGTCCTAAGGGTTCTGGCATGTTCAAGGGCAACTCCGATGTCACCGAGAATAACCAGGGCTTGGAGGATGGCAAGGGCAAGGGCAAGTTTGGGGACACCATGAAGGGCAAGACCGACGCCATGAAGGGTTCCCACCCCAAAGGTTCTTCTGGTTCTTCCGAAGTTGTTTCCAAGGGTTCTGGCAAGTTCAAGGGCAACTCCGATGTCACCGAGATTGACCAGGGCTTTGAGGATGGCAAGGGCAAGGGCAAGTTTGGGGACACCATGAAGGGCAAGACCGACACCGTGAAGGGTTACCGCAAAGGTTCTGGGGATGATACTTCTGGTTTGACAAATGGTGTTTCCAAGGGTTCTGGGAAGTTCAAGGGTAAGACCACTGTCACCGAGAGTTACCAGGGCTTTGTGGATGGCAAGGGCAAGGGCAAGTTTGGGGACACCAAGGGCAAGACCGACAACACGAAGGGTTCCCACAAAGGTTCTTCTGGGGATGATACTTCTGGTTCTGCCGATGTTGTTTCCAAGGGATCTGTGAAGGGCAACTCCGATGTCACCGAGAATAACCAGGGCTTGGAGGATGGCAAGGGCAAGGGCAAGTTTGGGGACACCATGAAGGGCAAGACCGACACCACGAAGGGTTACCGCAAAGGTTCTGGGGATTCCGTTGTGTCCAAGGGTTCTGGGAAGTTCAAGGGTAAGACCATGTCACCGAGATTACCAGGGCTTTGTGGATGGCAAGGGCAAGGGCAAGTTTGGGGACACCATGAAGGGCAAGACCGACACCATGAAGGGTTCCCACAAAGGTTCTTCTGGGGATTCCGTTGGTTCTAAGGGTTCCAAGGGGGAAGGGAAACTCCGATGTCACCGAGAATAACCAGGGCTTGGAGGATGGCAAGGGCAAGGGCAAGTTTGGGGACACCATGAAGGGCAAGACTGACACCATGAAGGGTTCCCACAAAGGTTCTTCTGGGGATTCCGTTGGTCCTAAGGGTTCTGGCATGTTCAAGGGCAACTCCGATGTCACCGAGAATAACCAGGTCTTGGAGGATGGCAAGGGCAAGGGCAAGTTTGGGGACACCATGAAGGGCAAGACCGACACCATGAAGGGTTCCCACCCCAAAGGTTCTTCTGGGGATTCCGTTGGTCCTAAGGGTTCTGGCATGTTCAAGGGAAACTCCGATGTCACCGAGAATAACCAGGGCTTGGAGGATGGCAAGGGCAAGGGCAAGTTTGGGGACACCATGAAGGGCAAGACCGACACCACGAAGGGTTACCGCAAAGGTTCTTCTGGGGAAAACATTTCTGGTTCTTCTGAAGTTGTTTCCAAGGGTGCTGGCAAGTTCAAGGGCAAGCCCACTGTCACAGAGAATAACCAGGGCTTGGAGGATGGCAAGGGCAAGGGCAAGTTTGGGGACACCACGAAGGGCAAGACCGACACCACTAAGGGTTCCCACAAAGGTTCTGGGGATGATACTTCTGGTTCCACTGTTGCTCCAAAGGGTGCTGGCAAGCCCAGGGGGAAGACCGATGTCACCGAGACTAACCAGCGCTTTGTGGGCAAGGGTATTGGGGACACCGAGACGGGCAAGAGCGACACCTGGGAGGGTTCCCACCCCGAAGGAGCTACCAAGGGTTCTGGAAAGTATACAGGCAAACCTTTGGAGGAGGACTGCACACATCCCATCCATAAGGGGTTAGGGTCATACTCTTTACAAACATATATGTACGTCAAACTCGATCCATCCACCTTTTTCTTCTTCTGATGTCATATCTTGAAGTTGGAAATATATTCATATACTATATATGTAATATTTATATATATATATATATTTATTTATTTAATGGCGCAGGATTTTGATTGTTCGATGCCCACCACATAATTGTTTGCACATTCATTGATTTTCAAAACAGCAGATGTTGTTGGAATGTGTGGTATAGCCCCATTAAAACTTGTGTTTCGATTTGCATATTAGGACCGATAAAAGCCCCGATATATGTTCCCATGCTTTCAAACAGGATGGTGCTGCAGCTTTGTGGTATCAGCCGTTGCCTACCCTGGCCAGTGGCTATGGTGCCATGACCGCAGATCAATGGGGGAAATCTCCAAAGGTAATCTTGGATGAGCATGAAACAAGGCTATGGGAGTGGGTCCAACAAGCTAACCCATATGCTTTGAAAGGGGCTGTAGACACGGCCTGTTCCCATTCAGATTTTCCCCAGTTCAACAGAGACCTTTGGGAACCTGTGGAAGCACAAAAGTTCGGGACCTCCCCTGCTGAAGATGTGGTCAGATTTGATATGTGGTTGAAAAAAAAGGAGATTTCTGACAGTTTGCCTACGCCGACCATCTCGCCGCCACAGAAAAGAAGCAACTCGGAGCTTGGCCCACCCCCTGAAAACCCAGAGGCCTACAAGAATTACTGGAAGAAGTTTGAACGTAAAGGGGGCCAATCCAATCTTTCTGTTGCCAGTACAACCCCGGGGTCCAAGTCTGAAGAAGCTTTGGGGAGCTCAAGTACTACGCCCAGCCGGACCCCATCTGACACTTCTGACCCTGCTGCATCCCCGGATTCTGCAACTGGCATTACACCAGACTGCAAAAAGAAGTTGGATCTTGAAGGCTGGACTATGCATGTGGAATCAACCAAATTCCATTTCGTGACTTTTGATATATACAGAGTATTGCCTGCAATACACGATATACACAACCATGGTTTATTGATGATCTTATTGGGTATTTCTAATCCTGTTCCCCAGCAGCCTGGAGGCAATGGTGGAAGCACCCCGCGGCTGGATTCTCAAAATTACTTCTCTTTTCCCATTGAATCATTGAATCTTAAGTTTACAATGGTGACCGTTTAAAAAATGTTCTATTAAAGCTCAGCTATTACACCCATGGGGTCCCATATATATTTCATAAATATATGTTGACATTCTCTTTTTAAACGGTCATAGCAGCGGTAGCACAAACAATTGTTAAAATGCCCTCCGTCTCTCGACTTTGAGGCCAGGAATCTTCCGCCGGAGCACCAGCGTGAGATCTGATGGGACTGGTGACGTCGACATGGATCGCCTGGGGGACGGGGAGGGACCTGGAAGGGCCAAACGAGCTGGGATTCTCAGTTCACAGTGTGTGCTTGTTTTACTTTAGTTTTGCATGTGATCAAGTCTTATCAAACCCCTGCATGTGTTTTGCAACCGCCCATATAGGTCAAGCACTTGACAGATGAGGATGCTCAGCGCATCAAGGTGCCGAATCGATATTGATCAAAACAACACTGCTTTTTCTGTTTGATCCGTTTGATCTGTTTGATTAAAGGTCATCCAAAAGTTTGAAATCAAATGAACACCATATTGACTGGTATTGCAACAATATGCAAATAGGAAAACCTCAGGGAAACACCGGGCGTACAAGGTAAATTTGGTAAATACGGATCATACATAAAACCACCGTAAACCCTTTATAGTTTTTGGAGTTACAATCCAGGTAGATACATATATATATATATATAGTTGTTTATTTATTTATTTAAATCTATTTATTTGTACATCTATGGTAATGAAGGGGTGTCGCCCATTTTCTTTTGGGTTGGGTGGCCGCGTACAGGCCATGACTTGCTTCGAGGACATGCCACCCGACGAGCGGAAGAGACAGCGAGAAGCTTTGAGGCGAAGGTTGGCAGGTGCAGGCCTCCGACCAGGTCTGATTCAAAAGTGGCAAGCAGCTTCGAGCCAGCAGGCCAAGTTCGAGTTCTTACGAGCTTTCATGCTTGACCCTCAGAACTTGAGTGAAATCACCATAGAGGCCCAGTACGTTGACATGGCAGAACACGACGACTCGTCATGCTGGGTCGAATTACCCTTAGAGACGTTGCGCAAGCAATACACTACTCCCAGCGAGATCAAATTCTTAGAAGAACAAGTGATTGCAAAGCAGCCAGGACGGGCCCACCCCCAGGATCCGTCAGGGGAGAACCAGGACATGCGCATGTACTGGGTGTTCCGTGAGTCAACGGATGTTTCCCGTCGAAAGCAGGCAGTCGGCCACTCAGTCAAGGCCAGTGGACATGTTCCCCAAAACAGAGCAGCAATGACCGCTGTCGCTGACAGTTTGGCAATGCGTGGTGCGGACTTTGGGGGCAAGGGCGGAACTGCCGAAGCTCACCAGACCCATTCGGGAAAGGGAAAGGGAGGCAAGGCAAAGGGAAAGACTGGAGAGCCACCAGAGAAGAAACGCAAGGCAGGTCATATATACCCATATACAAGCACACACACATATATATATATAATACACTTATTCATTATATACACACATATATATATATGCACATCATATGTATATACACACTATATATATACACATTGATTATACATATATAGTATTTGTACACTTTATACACTTATATATATATATTTATATTTATATTCATATATATATATGTGATTTATATATATATATATATGTGCATATACATGCACTATCAGTAAATCCAACAAAAATGTATCGGGGATTTTTTTGGACAACACTTACAGTGATGACCATGGTTATCATTGTTTAAATGGGGTTAAAAATAGTTATAATTGGTAAATGTCCACCACTGCATCCAACAAAATGCATGGGGAATTATCGGATATCCCAGAAGTAAAAAATGCTCTTGTAGAGGTCAAAAGATTATCCGCCCCAATTCTTCCTGCACAAGTTTTCCCAAATCGCTCCTGTGAGTTCCACTGCATGGTGATCGCTTCACCTTCACCGCTCGATCCTTGGCAGGTCAAGAGCCCGGAGGAGATCCGAAAAAAGAACTTTGACCAGAAGCTCGAGAAGTCAAACCCTCAATTATTAGCACGGGCTTTGAATTTTACTTCCCGATGGTAAGGTATTTGAGACCCACTAGAAAAGCTGGTTTGGAATCTGAAAGCTATTCACTGTACATACTTTAAAGGGTTGAAAAACAAACGCCGTTGTAGTTGGTATCGCTAAGGGTGGGGAAATTGGCGTCCAAAGCCAGAACGGTTGCCGAAGCTATCACAACCACTGGCATGGCACACCAAGAGGCCAGCAATTTATCTTAATATCGTTTTACTGAAAGAACTCATCTCAAATGTTCCCCAGTGTCATGTGCTATGCAGGCGACTGTGCAGAACCTGCGTGGCATCTTCGCACAGTGCAACAAGATCTCCAAAGAGTCTGGATCACAGTTTCCAACAGGCTACTTATTGTTGAGTCACCCTTTGCATGCTTCAATATACATTTATACCTCGAGATGACATATGGTTTTTGGAATCCAAACAAACCGTCCTAGGATTTCGGATGATGTCTTCCGGATGGTGCAGTTCGATGTGCTCGAAGCTTCACTTGACAAGCATGATGACTACTTGGAGGCCCATTTGATCAATCTGTATTTTCTAAAGTGGGTGAGGCTCATGTGCAAACAATGTCAACCATATGGGGTTGCACAAATGGCCGGTATTAATTTATTTGTTTACCGAAGATAGAGCAGTTGAAAGTAAAATGTTCAATGTTTGGGACCCATAGCCACACCGCCGCAGGAAGCTGCGAAGCAAGTGCAGGAAGCTGTTGGCATCAAAGAGTCCCATGAGCGACGTCCACTACTAAGATTATTGGATATACATATACATACCTATACATTTACATATACATATACACATTCTTTGACCAACATGTGGTGGCATCATGTTGAACCCTCCAAACCCTCCATTTCAGCCAGCTGGGCCACCTTCATTGAGGCGTCGCTGCAGAGAAGCGCAAGCTGGAGAAAGCCTCACAGCCCAAGGCGAAGGCGAAGGGAAAGGCCAAACCGAAGGCTGCCCCTAAGCCTACTGAGAACCAGGAGGATTGGCCAGAAGAGTGGCCTGAAGATGATGATGATGAATATGATGATGCTAACAATGACAATGCCGATGCAGAGTCTCAGGAGCTCGCTGAGGATGAAGATATGTAGCTTTTAGCTTTTTACTGTGTGTAAATCATGGGGAGCCTACCTATGGTTCTGTGACATGGTGATCTACAGGGGTGTAAATGTAGACTACCACCATGTTAGCTGCGAAAGATCGAAGGCCCGTGCGAACATGAGCCCGAAAAAGGCCCATAATTTGCAGAATGCATGTGATTAGGGGGTTCCACCACTGACAAGTAAAAATGTTTTTTCAACACACACACATGTTTCTGATATATGTTGATCTGACTGGGTATAGATTACGAATCGAACCAAACTGGTAAATTGAGATGGATTTGTCTTTGTATTTTTATATATATATATATATATTTATACCTGTTGTATATATTCAGATCTAGTTCAATGTGATGCAACTTAATGCACCTACCATGCAATCCAATCATTTTGGGTACCTGGCTATCGTGCAAAACAGATTGCTCATTTGATGGCTTAGACACCACAGGAACAACCGCGGCCATTCCCAGCTGAATTTTAATTCAAATGCATACTTCCTCCAATTTTGGGGACAATGGCGTTACTCCCGAAGTTTTGCAAGAAACTGTTCATGGGCTCGTCCAAGAATTCTTCGAAATGCTTGGTGGTGGTGAGGCAGGTTTTTTCTTTTTAGTGTCGTATGATCACCCAACATAAACCTGAATATACCCCATTTGGAGCTAAGCCGAATCTGCAGGTTCAAATGCAAAGAATACAATCCCTTTTGTGTGCTGCCCTCAGGGTTCAACCGAAATGGATTCCCTGCACTGTTTCAAAAAAAATCCCAGCCATGACCTTCTTTTAAATTTTGATGATTTTAGCATGTCGATTGAGGCCGTTTGGAAAACCTACCGCACGTTCTGGTGCCGCAACATGGCTTTAAAGATCCAACCAGAAAAATCAAATCTCCGTGGTCATTCCTCAGACCCGCTGCTTTTGCCAAGGGAACCAGTGCTCCAGCTCATTGAGTCCTTGCGCTGCAGGGCCAACTCGTGGGGAAACGGGGAGATTCTAGAGCGGTGGACACATGCCCAGCATTGGAGTGACTAGGTGGCATCCTTTTAATTTTGCTTATATTGGGTTATCGTCGAACCGGGTTTCAATCAAATATTGGGTTATCGTCGAACCGGGTTTCAATCAAATATTGGGTTATCGTCGAACCGGGTTTCAATCAAACCAATGCAATGGTATTACCAGAAAAATGGTTGCCCTGTTTTTACAAAGGATTTCTTTGTGATGATCATCTGGATGAACATGTCCCACTAATTGGTTTTTTCAATTTATTGGCCCACCTAAGGAAAAGCCCTTCCAATGCCTTTTCAGAATCTCGATGGCACAGCTTGCAAGATGCCTTTTCAAAATGTTGTCGCAGTTTTTCTGATAGACCCCTAATTCAATCAAATTCGTGGTGAGGTTTCCTGTCCCTGTCTACTACGAGGATGCCTGTGGAGAAAGGGAATGGACGGGAAGTCATTCCATGCTGCTCCCACATGAAATAGTTGGTTCATTCTACCGCTTTGGCCCTGTTGACTTGATGAGCCGATTGACTGGTGCCCCCGGAGAACCTTAGCTAAAGGTGCACATATACATGTATAAACAGATATATGAGGAGTTCAACATGTCTATATACGAATATATATATGTATGAATACAGTGGACATATACAAACACATACACACACACATATATATATATATACATTATATATATACAATATGTATATATATATATACACATTATATGTATATACATTATATATATATACATTATACATATATATATACATTCTATAAATACATTATATATATTATATATATATACATTTTATATTCATATATTATATATATTATATGTAATTGTGTTTGCTTTTCCGTCGGGAAATTTCCATATTCCTCAAATGCATTGTTTAGGATGATTATCCTATGGGAAAAATCCCAAACACACAACTCAGTGATGTCCAGAGTCCTGCCGGTTGCTCAGGAACTTGAAGAGTTCTGGTCGCACGAGAAGGAGACCGCCTGGTACCGTGCGCACCCTATCTTTAAGGCACATCCGGGGGGTCTTGTTACTGCTTCCCATTTCTGCTATGACTGGATACATGTGGGATTCTTTGGAACATATTCACCTGTTTTTTGACAAGTTAGTAGCCGGCTGTGACCTGGTGAGGAAACAGAGCCGTCCCATGTAATTCCATTGCGGATCTTTGGCGATGGTGCTGAAAGTCAGAGCTACTTAGCCTGCATCCGATCCCTCAACTGAAGTTGGCTATTAGGCCCAAATGGTTTGGATCATCTTCATTTTTCGAAGTCCATCTTTGGACCCGGCAACTAATTTGAAAGTCTATTCTTGGTGACCTGGTTTTTCTCCGATGATGCTGGTCTTGAGGAAAGCAAAAGTTCGAACTAATCAGTTTGGTCTTGCCGCTGGCCACCTCATCGGCGACGATGGACACGAGGATAATGCTGCGTGGCATTCCATAGCCTTCAGCATGCTGATGTGTTGGCCAACGGGGATAGAGTGGTTCATAAAGAAATTGCACCGTTATTTTTTGGATTACCAAAGATCCCAGTAAGGCTCTCATGCATGAGCGCCACCTACTGCAATGAAGACTCACGGGAAAAAATTCTGGAAGCTATCTGCTGGAGTTTCCAAGCCCTATGTGCCTCTGCTTACTTGTTCTTATTTTTTCTCATGTTACCAACTTGGAACCTGCCAAAACCAATAGGCCCCAAAAAAATGCTGTCCCATCAACAGCCTACCCTGTTACTGGCTCAGGTGATGGACGCTTTCCTACGCATGACCCATGGGGCAAAGAGTTCACGAAGAACTACAACAAGGATCGCTGGAAACTGGGTGGACAGAAAATTGCCGGCCCTTTCAAAGGGTGTTTAGAAGGAATTCAAGGTGATCAGGATTATGTGAGGGCCATGATGACTCCAGCACGTTTTTGGGCTAACAATAGTAGCATATCATATAACTTTTTAGTTTTTTTCAGGTCAACAAATGGGGCATAATGGGGCCCTGTCCAAATTCTTTTTCTTGTGGCCCTGTCCAAGCCTCGAGGTTTTTTCTCAAAGCAGATGTGCTGTTATTATTGCAGGGCCCTGTCTTGGGTGTACACATCGAGCAATCCCCAAGATGTTGAACTCCTCTACACAAACTTCGGGGAGCATGCAGCCCATAGAAACACGCTGCTTGGGATGTTATGTTTATGGAAAAAATCTGGCATGGATTTTCAATATTTCGTCATAAACAGAGAAACGTGGGGAAAACATCTTAGAATTGACTGGGAATATGATATGCGCATCTCTATCTAGGTATATATCGTTTGTGTTTTTGTTTTACAATATGTCATTGGTTTGGACGAATTTTCTTTTGGGAAATTCCCACTTGAACACACAATCATACTTTTGAC